TTCACTATTATTCTACAATGTAGAAAATAGTAAAAATAAAGAAAAACTCTTGAATGAGTAGGTGTGTACACATTTTTGACTGTGTACAGTTGAAGTCAGAAGTTTAAATACACCTTAGCCAAATACATTTAAACTCAGTTTTTCACAATTTCTGACATTTAATCCTAGTAAAAATTCCCTGTCTTAGGTCAGTTAGGATCACCACTTTATTTTAAGAATGTGAAATGTCAGAATAATAGTAGAAAGAATGATTTATTTCAGCTTTTATTTATTTCAGCTGTTTAAAGGCACAGTCAAAGGTATGTAAACTTCTGACCCACTGGAATTGTGATACAGTGAATTATAAGTGAAATGATCTGTCTGTAAACAATTGTTTGATAAATTACTTGTGTCATGCACAAAGTAGATGTCCTAACCGACTTGCCAAAACTATAGTTTGTCAACGAGAAATTTGTGGAGTGGTTGAAAAACGAGTTTGAATGACTCCAACCTAAGTGTATGTAAACTTCCGACTTCAACTGTATATATAGAACATATAAATGCAACATGCAACAATTTCAACAATTTTACTGAGTTACAGTTCATATAGAGAAATCTGTCAATTTAAATAAATAAATTAGGCACTAATCTATGCATTTCACATGACTGGGCAGGGGCACAGCCAATCAGAATGAGTTTTTCCCCACAAAAGGGCTTTATTACAGAAATAAATACTCCTCAGTTTCATCAGCTGTCAGGGTGGCTGGTCTCAGACGATCCCACAGGTAAAGAAACCGGATGTGGAGTTCCTGGCCTGGCGTGGTTACACGTGGTCTGTGGTTGTGAGGCCGGTTGGACATACTGCCAAATTCTTTAAAACGATGTTGGTAGAGAAATTAACATTCAATTTTCTGGCAACAGCTCTGGTGGACATTCCTGCAGTCAGCATGCCAATTGCACGCTTCCTCAGAACTTGACACATCTGTGGCATTGTGTTGTGTGACAAAACTGCACCTTTTAGAGTGGGCTTTTATTGTCCCCAGCACAAGGTGCATCTGTGTAATGATCATGCTGTTTAATCAGCTTCTTGATATGCCACAGCTGTCAGGTGGATGGATTATCTTGGCAAAGGAGAAATGGTTACTAACAGGGATTTAAACAAATGTTTGCACAAAAGTTGAGAGAAATAAGCTTTTTGTGTGTATGGAAGATTTGTGGGATCTTTTATATCAGCTCATGAAACTTGGGATCAACACTTTACCTGTTGCGTTTATATTTCTGTTCAGTATATATATATATATATATATATATATATATATATATATATATATATATATATATATATATATATATATATATATATATATACTACCGTTCAAAAGTTTGGGGTCACTTAGAAATGTCCTTGTTTTCGAAAGAAAAGCATTTTTTAGTCCATTAAAATAACATCAAATTGATCAGAAATATACAATTAACATTGTTAATGTTGTAAATGGCTATTGTAGCTGGAAACGGCTGATTTTTTTATGGAATATCTACATTAGGCGTACAGAGGCCCATTATCAGCAACCATCAGTCCTGTGTTCCAATGGCACGTTGTGTTTGCTAATCCAAGTTTATCATTTTAAAAGGCTAATTGATCATTAGAAAACTATTTTGCAATTATGTTAGCACAGCTGAAAACTGTTGTGCTGATTAAAGAAGCAATAAAACTGGCCTTCTTGAGACTAGTTGAGTATCTGCAGCATCAGCAATTGTGGGTTCGATTACAGGATCAAAATGGCCAGAAACAAATAACTTTCTTCTGAAGCTCATCAGTCTTTTCTTGTTCTGAGAAATGAAGGCTATTCCATGCGAGAAATTGCCAAGAAACTGAAGATCTCGTACAACGCTGTGTACTACTCCCTTCACAGAACAGCGCAAACTGGCTCAAACCAGAATAGAAAGAGTATTGGGAGGCCCCGGTGCCCAACTGAGCAAGAGGACAAATACATTACAGTGTCTAGTTTGAGAAACTGACACCTCACAGGTCCTCAACTGGCAGCTTCATTAAATAGTACCCGCAAAACACAGTCAACAGTGAAGAGGCGACTCCGGGATGCGGACCTTCTAGGCAGAGTTGCAAAGAAAAAGCCATATCTCAGACTGGCCAATAAAAAGAAAAGATTAAGATGGGCAGTCTGAGATATGGCTTTTTCTTTGCAACTCTGCCTAGAAGGTCAGCATCCCGGAGTCACCTCTTCACTGTTTACATTGAGACTGGTGTTTTGCGGGTACTATTTAATGAAGCTGCCAGTATGTACAGTGGGGAAAAAAAATATTTAGTCAGCCACCAATTGTGCAAGTACTACCACTTAAAAAGATGAAAGAGGCCTGTAATTTTCATCAACTATGAAAAAAAATCCAGAAAATCACATTGTAGGATTTTTTATGAATTCATTTGCAAATTATGGTGGAAAATAAGTATTTGGTCAATAACAAAAGTTTCTCAATACTTTGTTATATACCCTTTGTTGGCAATGACACAGGTCAAACGTTTTCTGTAAGTCTTCACAAGGTTTTCACACACTGTTGCTGGTATTTTGGCCCATTCCTCCATGCAGATCTCCTCTAGAGCAGTGATGTTTTGGGGCTGTCGCTGGGCAACACAGACTTTCAACTCCCTCCAAAGATTTTCTATGGGGTTGAGATCTGGAGACTGGCTAGGCCACTCCAGGACCTTGAAATGCTTCTTACGAAGCCACTCCTTCGTTGCCCGGGCGGTGTGTTTGGGATCATTGTCATGCTGAAAGACCCAGCCACGTTTCATCTTCAATGCCCTTGCTGATGGAAGGAGGTTTTCACTCAAAATCTCACGATACATGGCCCCATTCATTCTTTCCTTTACATGGATCAGTCGTCCTGGTCCCTTTGCAGAAAAACAGCCCCAAAGCATGATGTTTCCACCCCCATGCTTCACAGTAGGTATGGTGTTCTTTGGATGCAACTCAGCATTCTTTGCCTCCAAACACGACGAGTTGAGTTTTTACCAAAAAGTTCTATTTTGGTTTCATCTGACCATATGACATTCTCCCAATCCTCTTCCGGATCATCCAAATGCACTCTAGCAAACTTCAGACGGGCCTGGACATGTACTGGCTTAAGCAGGGGGACACGTCTCGCACTGCAGGATTTGAGTCCCTGGCGGCGTAGTGTGTTACTGATGGTAGGCTTTGCTACTTTGGTCCCAGCTCTCTGCAGGTCATTCACTAGGTCCCCCCGTGTGGTTCTGGGATTTTTACTCACCGTTCTTGTGATCATTTTGACCCCACGGGGTGAGATCTTGCGTGGAGCCCCAGATCGAGGGAGATTTTCAGTGGTCTTGTATTTCCTAATAATTGCTCCCACAGTTGATTTCTTCAAACCAAGCTGCTTACCTATTGCAGATTCAGTCTTCCCAGCCTGGTGCAGGTCTACAATTTTGTTTCTGGTGTCCTTTGACAGCTCTTTGGTCTTGGCCATAGTGGAGTTTGGAGTGTGACTGTTTGAGGTTGTGGACAGGTGTCTTTTATACTGATAACAAGTTCAAACAGGTGCCATTAATACAGGTAACGAGTGGAGGACAGAGGAGCCTCTTAAAGAAGAAGTTACAGGTCTGTGAGAGCCAGAAATCTTGCTTGTTTGTAGGTGACCAAATACTAATTTTCCACCATAATTTGCAAATAAATTCATTAAAAATCCTACAATGTGATTTTCTGGGTTTTTTTTCCTCAATTTGTCTGTCATAGTTGACGTGTACCTATGATGAAAATTACAGGCCTCTCTCATCTTTTTAAGTGGGAGAACATGCACAATTGGTGGCTGACTAAATACTTTTTTCCCCCAGTGTATGTACAGTTGAAGTCCGAAGTTTACATACACCTTAGCCAAATACATTTTAACTCAGTTTTTCACAATTCCTGACATTTAATCCTAGTAAAACAACCCTGCCTTAGGTCAGTTAGGATCACCACTTTATTTTAAGAATGTGAAATGTCAGAATAATAAGAGAGAGAATGATTTATTTCAGCTTTTATTTATTTAATCACATTCCCAGTCGGTCAGAAGTTTACATACACTCTATTAGTATTTGGTAGCATTGCCTTTAAAATTGTTTAACTTGGGTCAAACGTTTCGGGAGCCTTCCACAAGCTTCCTACAATAAGTTGGGTGAATTTTGGCCCATTCCTCCTGACAGAGCTGGTGCAACTGAGTCAGGTTTGTTGACCTCCTTGCTTGCACACACTTTTTCAGTTCTGCCCACAAATTTTCTATAGGGTTGAGGTCAGGGCTTTGTGATTGCCACTCCAATACCTTGACTTTATTGTCCTTAAGCAATTTTGCCACAACTTTGGAAGTACGCTTGGGGTCATTGTTAATTTGGAAGACCATTTTGCGACCAAGCTTTAACTTCCTGACTGATGTCTTGAGATGTTGCTTCAATATATTCACATAATCTTCCTTCCTCATGATGCCATCTATTTTGTGAAATGCACCAGTCCCTCCTGCAGCAAAGCACCCCCACAGCATGATGCTGCCACCCCTGTACTTCACGGCTGGGATGGTGTTCTTCGGCTTGCAAGCAACCCCCTTTTTCCTCCAAACGTAACGATGGTCATTATTATTGTTTCATCAGACCAGAGGACATTTCTCCAAAAAGTACGATCTTTGTCCCCATGTGCAGTTGCAAACCGTAGTCTGGCTTTTTTATGGCGGTTTTGGAGCAGTGGCTTCTGTGATTTTCTGGATTTTTGTTTTAGATTCCGTCTCTCACAGTTGAAGTCTATGATAAAAATTACAGACCACTACATGCTTTGTAAGTAGGAAAACCTGCAAAATCGGCAGTGTATCAAATACTTGTTCTCCCCACTGTATATAAATAAATAAAATGTGGGGGTGAAATATTTTTTCACAAAAGTAGTGCACTGGGCCTTTAATAGTCCTGTATTTGCAGACCGACATATCCATACCCCCCACCCCACCCCACCCCACCCCCAAACTAATTCCTTCAGCTATGCACAGACTGGGTTTAGATGTTGAGGGGGTTAAGTGCAGAGTAGTCCCCATCACTTCAGTACACTTCTGTGTGCCAGTGAAGACAGGTGGGTACAGTACTGATCTGGGAGCTGGAGGAAGGAGAAGGAATTTAGCATCCATGTGCATACAGTGTTTGTGTGTGTGTGGTGTGTGTGTACCTGAGCTCCTAGTCTGGACAGGTAGCGGTTGCGAAGGCCAAAAGCAGACATGGGCCTGAGTTTGGCCAGCTTCTCCTCAGTCTGCAGACTGACCCTCTGATGCCTCTCAACTCTACAAGGACAGCAGGGGGAGTGGCATAATCATCATGGTAAAAATAAATAAAATATACCATTATTGAGAATTCTGAGTCTGTTTTTACAAACTTTTATTTGCTGTCCTGAGACAATACTGTAGTATATAAAAAGTCAATTTGATCAGACAGAATGACAATCAGATCTGGCAAGGACACAATGTCCTGATAATGTTCTTTAACAACCACAGTGAACATCAGATATGTAACAAAAACATCCCGTTACATTTTTTCCCCAAATTGTCAACAATTTATAATATTTAAACTACAGCGATTTAAAATTACTTAAAAGTTCAACGAGTAGTTTGAGGTAATTTGTTATTGCAACATTTGTAAAAAATTATGAATTTAGGACTAAACATGGTACCTCGAGGCCAGGGGTCTCCAACCCTGTTCATGAAGCGCTACCGTCCTGTAGGTTCACTCCATCACTAATATAGCACACCTGATTCTAATAGTTAGCTGGTTGATAAGCTGAACCAGGTTAGTTACAACTGGGGTTGGTGTGAAAATCTACAGGAGGGTAGCTCTCCAGGAACAGGGTTTGAGACCTCTGCTCTAGGCAGTAGTACCCATAGAACATGTTATTTAGAGCTGTTAGAAGTGTGTTAGAGAGATCAACTCTAAACAGACAGCACTCTCAGTGCAATTTACACAGAGACTATGCTGCAGCTAACAAAAACAAACAAACAGCCATCACAACTTTAGCGGTATATGGATTGGTTTCCTCCACCACAATATTTGAACTAATACTATGCTATGGCAAGCCACTTGGTTCAAGCTTGGGTTTTCCTGCAGAAAACTGATTCAGGGTTAAAGACTTTGAAGTGATCACTCATTACAATAGAAAAACAATCAAAAGTGATTTTGACATTAGAATGATAATTTGATTTAGTGGTTTTCAACATATGAAAGTGTCTCTAGGCAATTTCCTGAGATTTGATGTTTATTGATCACAAAACAAAGTATTTATCCTTTCATTCAGTTGTACAGCCAGTGGTGTAAAAAGTACCCAATTATCATCCTTCAGTAAAAGTAAAGATACCTTAATAGAAAATGACTCAAGTATAAGTGAGTCACCCAGTAAAATACTACTTTAGTAAAAGTCTAAAAGTATTTGGTTTTAAATATACTTAAGTATCAAAAGTAAATGTAATTGCTAAAATATACTTAAGTATCAAAAGTAAAAGTATAAATCATTTCACATTCCTTATATTAAGCAAACCAGACGGCATGATTTTCATTTACATTTTAGTCATTTAGCAGACGCTCTTATCCAGAGCGACTTACAGTTAGTGAGTGCATAAATTTTTCATACTGGCCCCCTGTGGGAATCGAACACACAACCCTGGCGTTGCAAACGCCATGCTCTACCAACTGAGCTACACGGGGCCAACATTTTCCTAGTTTTTTTAAATTTATGGATAGCCAGGGGCACACTCCATCACTCAGACATTATTTATAAACGAAGCATTTGTGTTTAGTGAGTATGCCAGATAAGAGGCAGTAGGGATGACCAGGGATGTTCTCATGATGTGTGTGAAATGGACTATTGTCCTGTCCTGTTAAGCATTCGAAATGTAACGAGTACCTTTGGATGTCAGGGACAATGTACAGAGTAAAAAGTACATTATTCTCTTTAGGAATGTAGTGAAGTAAAAGTAGTCAAAAATATAAATTGTAAAGTATAGATACCCCAAAAAACTACTTAAGTAGTACTTTAAAGGATTTTTACTCAAGTACTTTACACCACTGTGTACAGCAACGAGGGTTTCCACCCAATTGCCAATGTTATTCTAATGTTTCCCTTTAAATTCCTTTATCACTTTGACAAGGTCTGCCTTAGCCTTGAGGGTGTGACGGTGTAAAGTTTTACGAGCCTCTATGACCAGCCAAGAGATGGTGTGACGGTGTAAAGTTTTACGAGCCTCTATGACCAGCCAAGAGATGGTGTGACGGTGTAAAGTTTTTACGAGCCTCTATGACCAGCCAAGAGATGGTGGTGACGGTGTAAAGTTTTACGAGCCTCTATGACCAGCCAAGAGATGGTGGTGACGGTGTAAAGTTTTACGAGCCTCTATGACCAGCCAAGAGATGGTGTGACGGTGTAAAGTTTACGAGCCTCTATGACGGTGTAAAGTTTTACGAGCCTCTATGACCACCAAGAGATGGTGTGACGGTGTAAAGTTTTACGAGCCTCTATGACCAGCCAAGAGATGGTGTGACGGTGTAAAGTTTTACGAGCCTCTATGACCAGCCAAGAGATGGTGTGACGGTGTAAAGTTTTACGAGCCTCTATGACCAGCCAAGAGATGGTGTGAACGGTGGAAAGTTTTACGAGCCTCTATGACCAGCCAAGAGATGGTGTGACGGTGTAAAGTTTTACGAGCCTCTATGACCAGCCAAGAGATGGTGTGACGGTGTAAAGTTTTACGAGCCTCTATGACCAGCCAAGAGATGGTGTGACGGTGTAAAGTTTTACGAGCCTCTATGACCAGCCAAGAGATGGTGTGACGGTGTAAAGTTTTACGAGCCTCTATGACCAGCCAAGAGATGGTGTGACGGTGTAAAGTTTTACGAGCCTCTATGACCAGCCAAGAGATGGTGTGACGGTGTAAAGTTTTACGAGCCTCTATGACCAGCCAAGAGATGGTGTGACGGTGTAAAGTTTTACGAGCCTCTATGACCAGCCAAGAGATGGTGTGACGGTGTAAAGTTTTACGAGCCTCTATGACCAGCCAAGAGATGGTGTGACGGTGTAAAGTTTTACGAGCCTCTATGACCAGCCAAGAGATGGTGTGACGGTGTAAAGTTTTACGAGCCTCTATGACCAGCAAAGAGCAAAGAAAGGAATTTAATGAAGGAACGGCGCTATAAAGAATTTAACACACTGCAGATTCTGAAATCCTCCAGCATAAATCTGTCAAACTAGATGATGCGTATATGATTACCGTTCAGAATGACCTCACTGTATGCAAAAGCCGGGAAAGGAGATGGGTTAGTTTTCTGCTCCCAATTAGATGACATTTTCTTCATGATTACACAGATTATTAATTTATGGGCGTATAGAAGTTATAAGCACACCAACTGTTTGTTTTGATAATCAAAAAGTTGAAGTAAAAATGTAGACCTTTCTGAACAATATTAATAAAAAAAAACATACATAACATTGATGGACAATCTAAGTCCTTTCTAACATACTGGTTTTAGAGAGATGCTTAAAAATATTTTTCTAATAAAATCTAACCATTTCACCTCTTATTAGTGTGGGTGATTTTTCATCTGGACGTGCATTAATCGGTGAATAACTTTACATCTCTAAAGTAAAAGTCACTCAGCCTGGGGCCTTGTTCCACAGACATTTAAAAACCTTTTTAAAACACTTAAAAGTATGTTTAAAGTGCTTTCTGGTACCCCACTCTACTGACATTAAAGTATGATTGGTGCTGAGGTTTGAGGTTCCAAAGCATGCACAAACACCAGTCAGTCATTACCCAGCCCTGACACAGCCACTGGAGGGAGGAGTCAGTGAGACGAGGAATCGTATGTGATGTCAGAGCAGAGGGGTCAGCATCTGAGCTGCGATTGGTCAGTATGTTGCTGGGAGGGGTCAGTTACAATGCAGGTATGGGTCAGTGTGCAGGTGGGAGGAGTCAGTAGTGCAGACACACCCCCTAGTTGGTGATTGACAGCTGTGGTTGGGTCAGTGCAGCCAGCTGGCACTGAGGCCCAGGACTGTGTGCCCTCTCACCTGGAAAACAGCACAGGACAGGGCCAATGCATTAGTCTGGGGTACTCAGCACACAGCCAGACACAGCCAGACACAGACCAACTAGAATTATAAATCAAATCCTTCTCTACTGCCCTTGTTGAATTGTTGATAAGTGAAACATTAGCTTCATCCTGTTTTTCACATCTGCATGGGCAAGTCAACAAGGGCAGAGGGAAAGAGACAAGATGTTGGAGAGGAATTGGGCCGAGCGAGCAGTGACACTACACACAAGTGCAGAAGCAGGTTAGACAACACATTGACCACGTTCACATGGACCACACTCAGGAACAGTGTATGAGAGTTAGGAGAGCCAGAATTGGTAAAGGTGCAAGAAAACCATACATCAAAACATATTATGCAGATTGAGCACTAAATACACTCTTGATATAGACAAAGTGTAAATCCATCTTACTCAATCCAGAGCATTCATATTATCTACTAAGCTTGCACATGATTAATTCAGAATGTTAACCACAAACCTCTGAAATGGCTTTTCTCAAATGTTTTCATTAAACCCACTTGGGATCATATATTGCAGAGGTTTTCTCTTACAACTTTCTCTGACTCTACAGATAAGGTGAGAGGTTGGGAACCCTAGTGAAGAACGTCAGAGTTGCAGGCTTTTCTTTTTAGTCCAGCACCAGTTGGATGTTTAATAATAGATTGATAATACATTGATAATAGGTCCTTGCCTTTCTCCTTATGAGTGGGTTGAGAGCCTAACGTTCAGTGGCTCTTGTCTGTATTGAGTGTAAGAGGAGGAGGGGGGAAAGGTGAAAGGTCATGGATACTCACTCTGAATCTGAATTGGAGCCCTTCAGGAGTTTGGCCCTGGCAGAGGCTGAGAGGTTCAGATCTCCTCCTGAAGAGAGAGAGGGAGTAATGGAGAGAGGAGGGGAGAGAGAGGAAAAGAGAGGGAGAAGGACAGAAAGCGACAGAAAGAGAAAGGGTGGGAGAGAGAACGGGAGAGGGATATCAAAGAGCATGGTTAGTGAGGATATCATAAGGCACGCTCCACTGTGAGTGGTGTCAGGGGGCCAGCTCCCATCTCTCTTACCTCGTAGATAATCAACAAAGTACAGCATTACTACCGCAATCAGCGCCACTGAGAGAGAGAGAGAGAGAGACATTTATTGGTTGACTCAACACACACACACACACACACACACACACACACACACAGAAGTGTTACTCACAGCAGACACAGGCGCAGAAGAAGACCTCCAGGAAGAGGTATCCCTTGTTGTCCAGAATAGATCCTGCTGCCATGGAGATCAGAGCCAGGCCCAGGTTCTGGATGGACTGCATGCTGGGAGGTAGGAAGGCCATGCATCATCATCATCAAGAACAACAGCATCATCATCACCACCACCACCATCAACAACAGCAGCATCATCATCAACAGCAGCAGCAGCAGTATCATCATAGTCACAAATAATGATGGATAGAATGCAAACACCTGTAGGTGTGAGGCAGTTTTCTGGTTACACAGAAGGGGTGGGTGGGAGCAGGTGTACTTACAAGCCATAGGCTGTCCCCAGCTGATGCTCTGGCACCACGAAGGCCACCATGGGCCACAGGGCACAGGCCAGCAGGGAGTAGGACAAACCCAACAGGGACTGGAGGACACAGATACACAGTAGCATTATCAACACTGTTACCAACACCATTCACTATACCTGGTTACCCAGTCACAATACATCTCAATTACTATATATAAACAAATAAAATCTGACTGCATAACATACTGCATAATCCAATCCTCTGGAAGCAGGATGTAATTGTCTTGCAGGACTAAACAAATGCAAGTATTCAAGGACCCAGTGATCCAAATCTGGCCTACCGCTCATCACTGCATACACTAGGTTTCTAGTGAATGTACTACTAATGTCTCCAAGGTCATATTCTGCTGTGAACCACTCTGCATCATTCTAACGGTAATAGAATGGAGAATGGTCATCACCATGGCGATCCAGGGGTTCCAGAAGGTGAAGGCGAGCATCATGTGGGCTATGAGCGTCGTGACGACGGCACACAGCACCCAGATCACGTTCTTCCCTATCCTGTCCACCATGAAGCCCAACAAGGGGGAGGCTGGGGCCGAGATGATGTACACAATACTGGGAGAGAAGAAGAGGGTGGAGAGAGGGAAACGGAGGGAGAGAATGAGAGGAAGGGAGGAGGAGAAGCACGGAGGGCGAGATGAAGGGAAGAAGTGAGAGAAAAGGGAAAGGAGAGAGTGTGAGGAGGTAAAGAAAAGGAGAGAGGGAGATAGTGTTTAGAAGGGTGATAGAGACAGTTACAGTTGCAATGTGTTGTGACAGTTCTTAGCCTGAGGTGAGAAGAGAGCTAAAACAAACCTCATTTGAAGAACTCCTAACAAAAAGCTGAGTGGCACTGCCTCACTCCGTCCAAATTGAATCACTCTCCTTATTGAGTTATTCTGGCATCTCAGACTGGGGTAAAAGTGGTGTGCGTTACCTGTTGATTGCTCTTGCTTCAGGAGGTGAGAAGTTGAACTTTTCAATGAAGAAAACCCTGCAAGGGGAAGACAGAGAGGTGAGAAGGAGTCAGTCAGCCACACTCAGCACTGTATCTCTCTCTCACTCTGTATCTCTCCCCCTAGTACTCTTTATCTTTCCTACCCACTCAGAGGATTAGATTACATGTTAATTAATTATTTAATCAGCTTGGGAGAAATGGCAATAAAGATTATTCTAAAAGAGTTTAAGTAAAGATGATATTCATCCGAGGTATTTTACATGATGGAGAATAGACATTGTGTTCGAGGGGATCAGCTTGAGCAAGGGGCAGCACCTAATCCATGATCTACAATCATCTTGCATCCCAAATAACTAGTTGTGATAAAAAGCTGGCCATATTGGTGATGGTTTTGACGGATAAGACATGATGAGTGATGGTTGGTGTGCTACTCACTGTCCCAGTCCGATGAAGGGGAAGATGGCCACGTAGTAGCCCACACAGATGATGAAGATGAGCCACAGTGGGAAAGGGAAGTCTTTCACATCCGTCAGCTTGATCACTTCCCCTACACACACAGAACACATGTTCAACACACAGAACCAGTCTTGGCTAAAGCGTCACCTTGGGAAAGGGGTGTGACAGCCAGTCAATAACCCACAGGAAGTAGTACTACGACCCCTGACCTCCGCCCCTGTCACACTAAAGCCAGCCCAGGGAAACACAGGCTACCTTCCCAATGATCAATTCTGACAACAAGATTACGCGCAACGGGGAGTTGGCGGTTTCCCAATTGAATAAAGAGCTCCTTTATCAACTAAATTAATCAAGGCAAAATGAGACTAATGGTGACAGGTAACATATTCTTAAGAGAAGGAACCTACCCTCCACCACCTCCCTCCTCACACTAACGTTGTCAGAATACAGTGGACATGATAACCATAGCACATAGATAATGACGATCATCCCTGTCAATGCCATTATCCTGTGTTGTTCAGCTCTGATTGCGACACACATCATCTGAGGCAGTCACTGACTGCCATGTTAGCGCACCGGTCCCTCCCTGTTCCTTGTTGAGGATCCTCTCTGCTCGCTTGTCCAGGAAGCCCAACACCAGAGCACAGACCAGAGAGAATATACAGGTCACCCCAGCTGGAGAAGGAGAAAGAGAGAGAGAGAGACACAGGAAATCATTATATCAGCTATGAACAGGTAGGTGTGTGTCTCATGAACCTACAGCAGCACCACAGGGTAAGTCCTCAGGAGAAGAGCCTGGGAAGGATCTTTAAAGACCTGTCTAGTTCAGTCTAAATAAACATTACTGCTTCCTTAGGCCCAACAGTCAAGAGTAATTAGATAAATAAGTACCTCAAAGTTTTACTTTAGATTTTGTGTCGAGAGCGGTTGTTAGAATGCTTTCGATTTCTTGGGGGTGGTCGAATGTTTGATTTGCCTCAAACTAAATCTCTACATCACACTCTGCTGTAGAGGGTGGGATGCGATGTGAGTGACAGAGGGGTCTGTGGTCCAATAAATATTCACCATTAACCAGGTGAAATGTCAATAAGTATGTTGCAAAATGCAGTAGGTTTTGGTTTGAATTAACAGTAGGGTATGGACATATTAGAGCCATCTCACAGCCTTAATGTTCCTCTGCTATGTAGTTTCTGTAAAGCATCGGCACATATCTACTGGGGCTCCATTATAATGTTACAGGACTGTACGGTTGAGTCCTGCTGAAGAGAACACACAGACTGCTGGGCTCCTCTTATTCCTGTGGAGCGAGTGAGGTCACCCACCGTGAAAGAGAAAGAGGAAGTGAAAAGAGAAGTGAAGCATCACGAAACTGACACCTCTTCCATCACATGATTCATCAGACAAATGACAGGAAAAATGGTTCTGGTTCTCTCTCCCCCCCCCCCTCTCCCTCCCTCCCTCCCTCCCCTCTCCTCTCCTCTCCCTCTCCTCTCCCTCCTCCCTCTCCCTCCCTCCCTCCTCTCCTCCCCTCCCCTCTCCCCCTCTCCTCTCTCTCCCTCCCTCTCCCCCTCTCCTCTCCCTCCCTCTCCCCCTCTCCTCTCTCTCTCCCTCCCTCTCCCCTCTCCTCTCTCTCCCTCCCTCTCCCCCCTCCTCTCTCTCTCCCTCCCCTCTCCCCTCTCTCTCTCCCTCCCTCTCCCTCTTCTCCCCCTCTCCTCTCTCCCTCCCCTCTCCTCCCTCTCCTCTCCTCCCTCTCCTCTCCCCCGCTCCCCTCCCCTCCCCTCCCTGTGCTGAGATTAGAGAGCAGTTGTAATAGAAATGGTATGGTGTTGCAGACAGGGCTGTCATGGATGGAGAGAGATATGTAACCTGAGGCTCAATGTAGACAGCAGGCCTGGGAATCTAGCTCACGGTCCTCCTGATCAAATGTGGACATGCATCTCACTCACACAAAATGTGTGGTTCTGCATTATGTCATGTTATATGTGGACCCCAGGAAGAGTAACTGCTGCTTAAGCAACAGCTAATGGGAATCCTACTAAAATACTAAATACACACACAAACATACTAGTGATGCGCGGGTTGACTCATAACCCGCAGTCCCTGCGGTTATATCAGCGGTGCGGGCGGGTTTAGGGTCATGAAATGTTGTGTGGATGAAGGGCGGGTGGGGTGTCGGTCGGGTTGAATAAAGAGAAACAAATCATTAAAATTGTGCAATTCATAATTATTGTGCCCATCTATAGGCTACATTGAGTATTATTATTATTTTTTAATATAACTTTTATCTGGCATTAGTGCCTAAGCCTCAGATAAGGCCTAACTGTATGTGTGAAAAAATACATGCGGCAATCGCCAAATGCTTTTGGGAATTTGGGCAGAAAAATTTAACGTCAATCCACTGAGGCAAAAAGGACAGTGTCGGAGTTTAAGTCAATAAGCTGCAGAATGGAAAGCTGAAAATAAAGAGAAGGGAGGGCCAGGAAAGATCTGGTGAAGTGGTAAAAGAGGATGATAGCAGTGCCGGCTATGTTATGTGTGATGATTGTGAGGCGCTATACAAACTCGACAGTCACAAGACGGGAACTTCAAATATGGCACGTCATACCTGCAGACAGGGCAGGCCCAACCAGCCCAACCAGCCCAACCAGCTGAACCGCGTACCAGCAAGTCAGGTCTCCAGCTCCAAGCACATCTCAAATGTACGCTGACAGCAAAAAGATACCACTGCAGGTGAAATCCAAGTTTGTTGATGATTGTGTGGACTTCTGTTTTGTGGACTTGCGTTCCTTTGACATTGTTTCGGGAAAGGGCTTATTAAGATTGGAGCCCTTTATGAAGCTGTCAAGGCCAACTCTGTCATCCAACACAGACAGAGTGTTTGAAAGAGCCAAAGAGGCCACAACAGAGAAGGCTACACTGTCTGAGTCAATCAAAAAGGCTTTAGATGACGGTGGCGTTGCCATTACCACAGACATGTGGACGGATGATTTCAACAAAAGGGAATTCACTGTGCTTACGTGCCATTTTTTGACAGAAGATTGGCAACTGAAAACTCGCGTCATCACCAACGTGGAGATTGACGCCTACCTCAGGAAGACAGCAGAGAACATCCACGAGCAAATCAGCAAGGAACTCAATGACTTTGGAATTCCAGGTGACCGTCTCTCCAAAATCGTGTTTGTGAGTGACCAGGGCGCAAACAAAGGCAGCGCTGCGCAACTACCACTGGATCCCTTGCACAGCTCATGTGCTGCACACAGTCCTAAAACAGAAATTCCAAGAAAAGGAGGCACCAGAGTGTGTTCGTGAAGTTCCTGAGATGATGGAAGCATGCAAGAGCCTTGTGACCAACCTAAAAGAAGACCGGTGCTGTCGCCAAACTTACCCCGTGCAGTAATCCAAGAATGCGAGACTCACTGGAACAGCAAGGCTGACATGCTGGAGTTGGTCAGCAAGCAGTACACAGAAAAACGGCAAATGCTCGAAAACAAAGACCAACTGGATTGAATGAAGGGCATTTACCAGGATGAGCTGAGTACTCATCGACTTTGTCAGTCTTCAAGGCAGCATCTGTAGAGCAAGAAGGAGAGAAATACCCCACTCTCCAGTTGATGATGCTCTGGTTTCACAAACTAAAACAACGCTGTGAGCCAACATATGGAGATCCACTCTACAAGGTACATATTTGCTTACGAGCATTAAAAGCTCCTCACCGAGAAGATGTTGCTACCTCCCACACACAAACTCGCCACGTTCCTGTGCCCAAAATTCAAAACACTGAAGATGCTCCAATAACGAGTCGCTGTGTACGACCAAGCCAGGAGACTGACAGAGCCAGCCCCTCCAGCCCCTCCACCCCCAAGTCAAGTTTCAGCACCATAGACCTGCCTTGCGCCGACACTGATGGAGTTTCAGCACCATGTACAGAGGATTTCAGCAAAGGTAATTATTAGGCCTAGTCTTATTAAATATTAACTTTACAGTTGGAAGCACAAGATTTAACTTCACGGAGTGGGAGGTCGAGAGAGGCCAAAGAGATCGACAAAATCCAGAGGTACAGAAGCACTCACTTTTCCCTGGAGGATTGTGTGGAGTAAAGTTTGCTTGCTTTTTGGGAGAAGCAGGAGCGTAACTTCCCTCAACTCCAGTCTCTTTGAAAATATAATTATCTGCATTCCGGCATCAAGCACTCGAGTGAACGCGCCTTCAGCACTGCCGGGCGCGTTGTTGAATCCAGGCGCAACCGACTGAAACCTGGCACAGCGGACGCTATTCTGTTTCTTAAAAGTGCTGCAAAAGAAAGCAAGACAAAGTAGGCAATTATAGCCTCATAACTGGTCAGTGGGTACTTTTATTTTCTAAACTTTGTTGTGTTATAGCCTATTTATTTTCCATTATATTTTTTCATTAATTCATATAGCGGTATAGGATATTAGCCCACACAAGCAGTCGGCCTACAAGATGTCAATTTATTGTTTCACATTTTGTTTCCTTTCAGTAAAATTATAGGCTACTGTTCAATAGGCCTAAGAATGCTCAATTGCTCAAGAAAAAACGTAGCCTAACTGTTCAATAAATGTTTAAAGAAAAAGAGAACTGTGCAGTCGGCCTACAAGATGTCCATTCATTGTTTCACATTTTGTTTATTTTCTGTAAAATAATAGGCTACTGTTCAATAGGTGCACACATTTTTTAAATGCTCAAGAGAAATGTAATTGTTCAATAAATTGTTCAAGAGAAAAAAGACACTGTACAGCGCATTTTAGATATTTGCGGGTTAGGGTCGGGTGTGGGCCTCAGATTTTCACTTTATCACAGTCGGGCGGTTGCGGATGGGTTATTATCAATTGCTGGTGGGTGAGGGTGAACAAACAGCTGACCCACGCATCACTAACACACACACACTTTTAACTCACCGATCATGAGTGAGACTCCCAGAGTGGTGTGTCCCGTCGAGCCTACCAGGTCAGCGACACGGTTGTACACCCAGCCCATGATGTTCATGTTGACCGTGCTGCCCTGAGTGAGAGGAGACAGGCCAACACTCACCCTGATCAGCCACATAAATAATGCCTTAAGTATGTCCTTCTGTAATCTAAATACAGTGTTATACTTAGCTTCCAGCATGTTCTTACCAGCCTGGCCATGCTGAGCTGAAGACCAAACACCAGGTTGAGCTCCTTCCCTTTGAACCAGTTCACTGCATAGGTGTTCTGGGCCACAGCCAGGGACTCACCTCCGATCCTACCCAGAGAGAGAGCACTTAGTTAGGGGGAGAGAAGTGGCTTGGAGCTGTAACAAGGACTAGCTCAGTGACAAAATATTCTTAGTCTAAAAAGCATCTTACCCAAACACAAACCGTCCAACCTCCATTAACCAGAATAGATCTAGAAGTGCCCCAACAGCAACTATAATCTGTGGAAATAGACAGTGGGGGATAAAGTACTCGATTGTCATACTTGAGTAAAAGTTAAAGTAAATACTCTACATCAAATTCCTTACATTAAGCAAACCAGATGGACAGCCAGGGGCACACTCCAACACTCAGACACAATTTACAAACACAGTATTTGTGTTTAGTGAGTCTGCCAGATCAGAGGCAGTAGGGATGACAACACGTTATATTGATAGGTGTGTGAATTGGACCATATTGCTGTCCATCCTGAGCATTCGAAATGTAAACTAATACTTTTGGGTGTCAGCGGAAATGTATGGGAGTAAAAAGTACATATTTTCTTTAGGAATGTAGTGGATTACAAGTAAAAGTTGTCAAAAATATAAATAGTAAAGTACAGATACCCTGAAAAATGACTTTAGTACTTTAAAGTATTTTCACATAAGTACAGTGCAATCGGAATTCAGACCCCTTCACTTTTTCCACATTTTGTTACGTTACAGACTTATTCTAAAATGGATTAAATAGTTTTTTTAAAATTGTCTAATGTAAAAATAAAAAAATAATATATATATATATACACACACACACACACACACAGTGGGGAGAACAAGTATTTGATACACTGCCGATTTTGCAGGTTTTCCTCCTTACAAAGCACGTAGAGGCCAGAAAATCACATTGTATGATTTTTAAGTAATTAATTTGCATTTTATTGCATGACTTAAGTATTTGATCACCTACCAACCAGTAAGAATTCCGTCTCTCACAGACCTGTTAGTTTTTATTTAAGAAGCCCTCCTGTTCTCCACTCATTACCTGTGTTAACTGCACCTGTTTGAACTCGTTACCTGTATAAAAGACACCTGTCCACACACACAATCAAACAGAATCCAACCTCTCCACAATGGCCAAGACCAGAGAGCTGTGTAAGGACATCAGGGATAACATTGTAGACCTGCACAAGGCTGGGATGGGCTACAGGACAATAGGCAAGCAGCTTGATGAGAAGGCAACAACTGTTGGCGCAATTATTAGAAAATTGAAGAAGTTCAAGACGACGGTCAATCATCCTCGGTCTGGGGCTCCATGCAAGATCTCACCTCGTGGGGCATCAATGATCATGAGGAAGGTGAGGGATCAGCCCAGAACTAATGTAAAATGTAACTACACGGCAGGACCTGGTCAATGACCTGAAGAGAGCTGGGACCACAGTCTCAAAGAAAACCATTAGTAACACACTACGCCGCCATGGATTAAAATCCTGCAGCGCACGCAAGGTCCCCCTGCTCAAGCCAGCGCATGTCCAGGCCCGTCTGAAGTTTGCCAATGACCATCTGGATGATCCAGAGGAGGGATGGGAGAAGGTCATGTGGTCTGATGAGACAAAAATAGAGCTTTTTGGTCTAAACTCCACTCGCCGTGTTTGGAGGAAGAAGAAGGATGAGTACAACCCCAAGAACACCATCCCAACCGTGAAGCATGGAGGTGGAAACATCATTCTTTGGGGATGCTTTTCTGCAAAGGGGACAGGACGACTGCACCGTATTGAGGGGAGGATGGATGGGGCCATGTATCGCAAGATCTTGGCCAACAACCTCCTTCCCTCAGTAAGAGCATTGAAGATGGGTCGTGGCTGGGTCTTCCAGCATGACGACGACCCGAAACACACAGCCAGGGCAACTAAGGAGTGGCTCCGTAAGAAGCATCTCAAGGTCCTGGAGTGGCCTAGCCAGTCTCCAGACCTGAACCCAATAGAAAATCTTTGGAGGGAGCTGAAAGTCCGTATTGCCCAGCGACAGCCCCGAAACCTGAAGGATCTGGAGAAGGTCTGTATGGAGGAGTGGGCCTAAATCCCTGCTGCAGTGTGTGCAAACCTGGTCAAGACCTACAGGAAACGTATGATCTCTGTAATTGCAAACAAAGGTTTCTGTACCAAATATTAAGTTCTGCTTTTCTGATGTATCAAATACTTATGTCATGCAATAAAATGCAAATTAATTACTTAAAAATTATACAATGTGATTCTCTGGATTTTTGTTTTAGATTCAGTCTCTCACAGTTGAAGTGTACCTATGATAAAAATTACAGACCTCTACATGCTTTGTAAGTAGGAAAACCTGCAAAATCGGCAGTGTATAAAATACTTGTTCTCCCCACTGTATATATATCATATTTACATAAGTATTCAGACCCTTTACGCAGTACTTTGTTGAAGCACCTTTGGCAGCGATTACAGCCTTGAGTCTTCTTGGGTATGACGCTACAAGCTTGGAACACCTGTATTTGGGGAGTTTCTCCCATTCTTCTCTGCAGACCCTCTCAAGCTCTGTCAGGTTGGATGGGGAGCGTCGCTGCACAGCTATTTTCAGGTCTCTCCGGAGATGTTCGATCGGGTTCAAGTCCTGGCTCTGGCTGGGCCACTCAAGGACATTCAGAGACTTGTCCAGAACCCACTCCTGTGTTGTCTTGGCTGTGTGCTTAGGGTCATTGTCCTGTTGGAAGGTGAACCAAAAATGTTTTGGTACCCTTCCCCAGATCTGTGCCTCGACACAATCCTTTGTCAGAGCTCTACGGACAATTCCTTCGACCTCATGGCTTGGTTTTCCGATCTGACATGCACTGTCAACTGTGGGACCTTATATAGACAGGTGTGCCTTTCCAAATCATGTCCAATCAATTGAATTTACACAAGGTGGACTCCAATCAAGTTGTAGAAACATCTCAAGGATGATCAATGGAAACAGGATGCACCGGAGCTCAATTTCGAGTTTCATAGCAAAGGGTCTGAATACTTATGTAAATAAGGTATTTCTGTTGTTGTTGTTTTTTTTTTTTGTGCATAACTTTATAAAAACCTGTTTTCGCTTTGTCATTATGGGGTATTGTTTGTAGATTGATAAGGGGAAAAAACTATTTAATCCATTTTAGACTAAGGCTGCAACGTAACAAAACGTGGAAAGTCAAGGGGTCTGAAAACTTTCCGAATTCATTGTACATTACACCACTGGAAATAGATCAATTGAATTTGTACTACATATTTTGTAGTAGAGCAGCTCTCAAATACAGCTCTCAAACACATCTCCATCGTGTGGTGTGTACCTACCTGTCCAACGCAGACAAACAGGGCGAAGATTATCGTTCCTAGCCTACCAGGAGGGAAGCACAGTGACAGAAACGATGTTTACATGGGGATAATATGAAGTGATGAATTTCATCACAATGTTATCTCTCCTTGTGTTGCTGGAGATGACAGCCCTAGTTCATCATAGATTCAGATTAATCCTCCACACACAATTACCTCAGCATCTTTTGTTGTCAGAGGTTCATGGTGAGACTAGGGATTTCCTACTAAAGCACTGGCAGACAAACACTGCCCATATTACAGTAGATACACAGGCTGTATTGTCCATGGAGGAGTGTGGGAAAAACACACCTCCAACCAGCGTCCACACCAGGGTGATTACAGAATCCCTTATCATATTATACAAATGTGACGTAAAAGGTCCCTAGTGTGTAAACCTCACCTTATCTATGTATTGTACACATACCGTTTCTGCTCTGAGCAGCACAGCACTATGCATGCGTTATGTGACTAACCAGGTTGTCACTGGACGCAAGAGGTTAAATACCATGTTTTTTTCAGTACAAAATGGTTATCCTTGGATGGCGATAACCAAAAATTCCATGCAGGGAACAGGTGTCTGTACATTAGTGTTTCATTGGTAACCTGTGGTCCTACCTAATGCCAAAGACCCTGTCGAGCAGGAAGCCCCCCAGGAAACAGAGCACCACGTTGGGCCAGGAGTACCAGGCATAGAGCTGCATGAACATGGATGTGTTCAGCTTCATGTCCTGGTGCAGACCAGAGAGGAGAGAGAATGTCAGTGCATTGGAAGCCCAAATTACTAGAAGGGTCTCTTTAAGAAAGCAAAACAAAGGCAGAGAAACACTATGAACTGTGAGTGTATGGACCAACCATACACTACCTGGTATGACCTGATATTGGTCTGTTGTTTACAGTATTTGAAAACCTTTGTGCACAATGAAAGTGAAACTTAGCTGTGTTAGTTCTAATTGGCCATTTCCCTGTTAGTGCTGACTGAACACCAAAGATGACACATTGCTTTGTTTCACTTATAAGCAAGTTTACAACATCATGGTGGTGTCATGATGAGTCAACAGACATCCATATAATATGAATGTTTCCATAGGGTTATAATAGCTACAATTAATTGTGTGAAGTTATTTCCCATTTTGAATTATTGGAGGAAGGCTCTGGCATACAGCAGGCTAGGTTACAATGACGACAGAGTGACATGACGGTGTCGTCGGTCGCATGACACCAAAGTTCTGCATGTGAATGTGACAGACGGAAACTTCACTCCTCCTTCCTCACCTGTATGACTTGAGTCTGCAAAGCAGCGGGGTTATCATAACAGAAGTAACTTCCTGAAACAAAGTAACGCTGTCAGTGGGTAGAATTGATACATTGTGTTTGGTACATCAAAGTCCCGCTACATTCTAAACCCGCTCTGATTTTATTGATACAGTCATAGGCTACATCATGGTTAAAGATAATCAAACTAACAACGATTCAACGATGTCTGATATCCAAAAGCAATTAGTCTGATAGTCAGTTAGCTGAATGAAGCCTAAACTCTCTCCAAAGAATTTTGTTGGAACCGCCCTGCTCACCGAATCCCAGAAAGCACATAAAAAGCAGAACGAAAATGCGATGAGGCAGCCGTTTCGGGTCACAGAGCGCGGACATCGGTCTGACCGGTCCGCTTTCATTTCTGGGACCTGAAGACGAGGTATCCCCTTCATCGTCCAAAAGGTTCTGTCGCTCCTCCGCCATCTTCGTCTGTGTTTTCGAATGGAAGGAAAACAGGTTAACGGAGCGCAGACAGTCATATGACATACAGCTCCACGTGACTCGCCTCTGCTGAGCGTTGCTGTAAAAGGAGTGCAAAATAGTTCAGCAACAAGCGAAAGACCGTAAACAGGTAAAAATAGCTGAGCCTTGCATATTCTATTTTAGAATATTCAATACAATGGTGATTGCTATGCCGGGTCATTCATATTCCAAGAATAAATGACCCCATAGATTGAATTTAATTTGACAGTAGATATATAGACATTGTTGAAGCTTTATAGGCTTAGGGGTGATCGAGGTGGTCTTACATTTTAGTCATTTAGCTCTTATCCAGAGCGACTTACAGTGAGTGAGTGCATACATTTTCATACTGCCCCCCCGTGGGAATCGAACCCACAATCCTGTGTCTAACATTTGTAAAACAAAAAAAAGAAACAAAAAAGAAATATAAAACAGTAATATATCTGGATTAGATAAAAATTCAACCCCCGAGTCAATACATGTTAGAATCAGTCTTTAAGAGCTTTGTGCAACATTTGCCCATTATTATTAAAAAATTCTTCAAGCTCTGTCAAATTGGTTGTTTATCATTACTAGACAACCATTTTCAGGTCTGGCCATAGATTTTCAAGCAGATTTAAGTCAAAACTGTAACTCGGCCACTCAGGAACATTCACTGTATTTTTGGTAAGCAACTCCAGTGTAGATTTGGCCTTGGGTTTTATTGTCCTGCTGAAAGGTGAATTCAACTCCCAGTGTCTGTTGGAAAGCAGACTGAACCAGATTTTCCTCTAGGATTTTGCCTGTGCTTAGCTCCATTCCGTTTCTTTTTCCATCCTGAAAAACTCCCCAGTCCTTAACGATTACAAGCATACCCATAACATGATGCAGCCACCACTGTGCTTGAAAATATGGAGAGTGGTACTCAGTAATGTGTTGTATTGGATTTGCCCCAAACATAACACTGTGTATTCAGGACATAAAGTTAATTGTTTTGCCACATTTTTGCAGTATTACTTTAGTGCCTTTGCATGTTTTGGAATATTTGTATTCTGCTGTACAGGCTTCCTTCTTTTCACTCTGTCTGTAGTGACTTCCTTACCAATTGAACATAGCTACTGCCCAAGCCTAAAGCTGGGTTGTTTCAGACGATACAGTCCACATTCGAAAGTTCCCAAAAGCCAAACGGCAAAACATTCAATGAGATCCAGGGATATGGTGCAACAAAAAATGATGTATTTTTCTTATATCTAATAAGAAATGATTCTCTAATCAACTTGAAGCATAGATTACTTGAAATGAAAATACCTAATATGGTCTGTTTGTATGTATGGTCAAAGGACTATACCGCTCCCGCGTCTAGCTAGGACTCCCCCACACCCGAAGGCCCAACTTCCTTACTTATAGTGTATGCCAAGTTCTTTGGCGTAAACATCACCGACAAACTGAAATGGTCCACCCACCCAGACAGTGTGGTGAAGAAGGCACAACAGAGCCTCTTCAACCTCAGGAGGCTGATGAAATTTGGCTTATCACCTAAAACCCTCACAAACATTTACAGATGCACAATTGAGAGCATCCTGTCGGGCTGTATCACCGCCTGGTACGGCAACTGCACTGCCCACAACCGCAGGGCTCTCCAGAGGGTGGGGCGGTCTGCCGAACGCATTACCGGGGGCAAACTACCCGCCCTCCAAGACACATACAGCACCCGATGTCACAGGAAGGCCAAAAAGATCATCAGGGACATCAACTACCCGAGCCACTGCCTGTTCACCCCGCTATCATCCAGAAGGCGAGGTCAGTACAGGTGCATCAAAGCTGGGACCGAGAGAATGAAAAACAGCTTCTATTTCAAGGCCATCAGACTGTTAAATAGCCATCACTAGCACATTAGAGGCTGCTGCTGCCTATTGAAATCACTGGCCACTTTAAGAAATGGAACACTAGTCACTTTAATAAGGTTTACATATCTTGCACTACTCATCTCATATGTATATACTGCATTCTATTCTATAATATTCTTCTGTATCTTAGTCCATGCCGCTCTGTCATTGCTTGTCCATATATGTTTTTATTCTTAAATCTCATTCCTTACTTTTTTGTGTGTATTGGGTATATGTTGCGTAATTGTTAGATATTACTGCACTGTCGGAGCTAGAAGCATAAGCATTTCACTACACCCGCTATAACATCTGCTAAACACGTGTATGTGACAAATACAATTTGATTTGATTTGATTTGATTTATACACAAACACACTTGCCACAGTTCAATGCATGGGCAAGAGGGGGAGCCAAAAACTAAGATACACTAATAACAAAATAATAAATCTCAATCAGGCAAGTATAAATCATAAAGGTACCTAATATTTCATCACATACATTCATATTTCCTATATATATACACACATACATGGTCCTCTGTATGTTCTATCTCTTATACAAATATGTCTAAATTGGCTCAAACACTGTCAATTAGGTTAGTATTGTGGAGTAACTACAATTTTGTTGATCCATCCTCAGTTTTCTCCTATCACAGCCATTAAATTCTGTAACTGTTTTAAAGTCACCATTGGCCTCATGGTGAAATACCTGAGCAGTTTCTTTCTTTTCAGCTACTGAGTTATGAAGGATGTCTGTATCTTTGTAGTGACTGGGTTTATTAATACACCATCCAAAGTGTAATTAATAACTTCACCATGCTCAAAGGGATATGCAATGTCTGCTTTTTTATTTTTACCCATCTACCAATAGGTACACTTCTTTGCGAGGCATTGAAAAACCTCCCTGGTCTTTGTGGTTGAATCTGTGTTTGAAATTCACTGCTCGATTGAGGGACCTTACAGATAATTGTATGTGTGGGGTACAGAGATGAGGTAGTCATTCAAAAATCATGTTAAAAACTATTATTGTACACAGAGTCCATGCAACTTATTATGTGACTTGTTAAGCACATTTTTACTCCTGAACTTATTTAGGCTTGCCATAACAAAGGTGTTGAATACTTATTGACTCAAGACATTTCAGACATTCATTTTTAAGTAATTTGTAAACACTTTTCCACTTTGACATTATGGGGTATTGTGTGTAGGCCAGTGACACAAAATCTCAATTTAATCAATAAAAAGTTCTGGCTGTAACACAACAAAATGTGGAAAAAGTCACGGGGTGTGAATACTTTCTGTAGGCACTGTATCAGCCTGCCACATCGTATGTTATAGCAATCTGTCAGTCGATGACAGTCGCTGACGTGGCACGCAACCATTGGTTGACGCATGCAATGTCTGAGCAGGGGAACGTGACCAATGTGACGACTGCAAAATGCAGCAGATTACATCATCGATGATGTCATAGTGCCAAACCCTATAAATAGGACCTGTGAGACTGTCTGGACAGACTGTCAGACTCACTCTCTGTGGGTCTCCAACGGTAAGTGGCAAGAGATATATTATCAATGGTATTAACTTGGAAACAATATAATTCACCATAGATGAGTTTAGCTTCTTGGCTTAGCCTCATTTATGTCCTCTGATTTAATTTTATTGATCAAGGCGAGTTTAGGTTGTAACTATGGTAAGTGTGGGATTCAGCTAGGCCTATACATTAGTAAAGTGGGGCGGGAACGCTGGTAAGCTTTGGGGAAATGTGTTTTGTTTCTCTGTCTCTATCTTACAGAGCACCCAGCAGCAATAGGCGTGGAGTTGTAGTAGCAGCCTGCTGATCATCCTGACATCTTCAGGGACTACTGACTAGCTACAGCTGAACACTGATAGATACGCACTAGATACCACAACAAACCAGTCAAAACGTCTCACTTCTTACCCCCTCTTTTTTCTTCTACTGTGCATTTTGATCAATAAAGAAAAACGAAACGACATTTCTTGTTGTTTGTGTATTTTTTGTGTGTGTGTTACGGTTGCTTACTTAAAGAAAAATATTTAAATTAAATTAACAAAAATGTTTGTGTGTGTGTTTGTGTGTGTGTGGTAGACATGTATCACAGGCAGACACTTGGACACTTCTACAGAGTGAGTAACATTCCTCATGGGACTGCAAGAATGCCCTGATACAATGGGATCAGGACCCTCATGACCTCAATGACAGCAGCTTGTACCAACTGATGTCTCTCAACCTCTCAAGGTGGAAATCATAGGCCCACTCACTTACTGTAATCATGTGAATTTTCACCCCTCGCCCATATCTCTTTTCAGTTTTTCTGTCATTTAAAAAAACGTTCTCCTCTGAGTACACTACAGTATCTCCAGGGTTTATGCAATTTCCATGAATGTCATTTAGAATTTCCCATAATTCACTCCTGCATGGTCATCTGCCAGATCATTTAATCTGAGGGTGAAGAATGGGCCTTCCCCTGGCTCCACTCACCGCTCTAACGGCATTGTAGCTCATGTATTTCCTGCCCAAATACCAGGCCTTGTTGCTGGTGAGGGAGAGAGATCATATTTGATTATTATATTAATCAGACCCGCATGCAGACGCGACAGTAAATCAGGTCGGAGGTGTCGTAAATCCCCACACCCATTTTGTGACTCTCCAGAAACCTGACTCAGAGGTGGGGCCAGAAAAGCCAATTTATTTGCTTATTATCTGACTCAATTTGAAAAGTAATCTGACAGTAGGGCGGTATGATTATTATTATGAATAATACATCCCTGCCAGCCTCTCTGGGTGTCGCCGGTTAAAGGCCCTTCAGTTCAGATTTCACTACTACCTAATCCCCATCAGAGCAGTGTACCTGGTACCCCCTGTGTTTTAGTGTCTCTTACCCAGCAGTGATTGATTAAAATATATCCTAATCTGTTGTTACAGCATCACACATGGATATCCATCATACCCCAGCCCCACTGTCTCTGAGTTTGGAGCTCAATGTTTCTGGAGACAACAGTTGCCATTGCCCATTCATAGATGGTAGGCTAATGCTAGCGCCTTAACCGTCTTTTCACGTCTATCTGCCATGCGGAGGGAATGCCCTGACGCTCCGATGCTGCTCTGTATAAACATGAATAATCCTTGCTTGTGAT